AGGAAAAAATAAACATTGGTACATGCAATTTTACATCTAGTGTGCAAAAATAATAAATGCATCTATTATTGTTGTGATAATTTCTCCAACATTACCAATTTGCTTAAAAATTAATAATTCAAAAATTCCTCACTGGAAAACCTAGAAATTAGCATTTAAAAAAAGCTTAAACTTGCTTCGCCAACAAGATATTTCTGCAGTAAATCTCGACAGCTCCATTGCCTTTTCTGCATTGTGTTGTAAAGTCGTATTGTTATCCTGCTGTTACTGAAACAGATTCAAGTGAGCAGGGATTTCCATACACTAAGCCAGCCAGTCACAGGGCAGGAGAGCCAGGAGCTATTTTGGAAGAGGGAGTTATTTATTTGTTTGATACCAACACTAATACATTGTTAGTATGAACTGAGAATGGTTACCAAAGGGCATGTACTAGGCTCTCATTAAATGCACTAGTAAGAAACCGCTGTGCTGGCTTGCAAGACCATGCGTGCATGGACCCACATGGTATGTCAACACTGCAAGAGCAAACATGATGCACTAAGTCTCAGAGTCTGGGTCAGCTGACAAGGGCTCAGGTTGCTGGGCTAAAAAAAACCAAACGTAGATGCTGTGGCTCAGCCTGATTCCAGACCTCTGAGCCACAGGGAACTGACCCAGGCCAGCCGCAGCGGTGCTGTGGGTCTTTTATTACAGAGTAGATCAGGGCTGGGCAAAATACGGCCCGCCAAGCCACCGGATCCGGCCCGCGGACCATCCTGCTGGGACCCTCAGGCACACAGCTGCGTGGTTTACAGCACAGTCTGTGCGGCTCTCTGCTCTGCAGGATTGGGGAAGCTTCATGCAATCTCCCCCGCCTCCAGCCCAATCCTCAGCTCCTATTGGCCAGAAACAATGGCCAATAGGAACTGAACCCAGCCAATCTCTCAGCTCCTATTGCCTGCAAACAGCCAGTCAGAGCTGAGAAATTGGTCTGGGGGCTGGGAGAAGTGCTTGAGAGCCACGTGGAGGGAGCAGCCTGCAGTTTCAAGTGGGGCTGCAGCAGGCAGGGACCCCAGCCTGGCTTGGGGTGCTGCAGCGCTGCAGGTTTAGGTAAGAGCTTTCCAGCCAGAGCCTGTCTCTGGCACCCAGCCCCTCCCACACCCCAACTCTCCCCCAGGTCACCATCCAAACCCTCTGCACCCCCCTGCTCCAGGTCACAACTCCCTCTCACATCCTGCACCCACTCCCATAGCTCTCCCCCCGGCCAGAATCCTCTCCTGCACCCAAACACCGTCCCAGATCCTACACCCCATTCCCCTGCCCCAAGCCACCACCCACACCCCTTGCAGTTTGCACCCCCTTTTCCCCTTCTCCCAGATCATAGCTCCCTCCTAGACTTTGCAACCTCTCCTAGTGCCCCTCCCCCAGGTCAGAATCCTCTCCTGCATCCATACCCCCTCCCTAACCCTACATCCCTAATCCCGTGACTCCCTGCTTTGCCCAAACTCCCTCTCAGACCTCACACTGTCTCCTGCATCCCACTCCCTTACCCTGTGTGCCCTTCCGTGCCCAATCTCTGTCCTCGACTCCGCCCCCCTAAAGAAAAGTGTGGCCCTTGACCACTTTCCAAAATCTTGGAGTGGCCCCTTGCCAAAAATGATTGCCCACCCCTGGTGCAGATGTACTCCAAGACACATCACTGTGGTGGAGGGGAGCAGGCATGCAGCATGCTTCACAACTCTGAAAGGAGGAAGGTTTGATATTTTCAAAAAGTGAAAATGGGAGCCTAAGTCCCATTTTCAGAAGTAATTTAGGTACTTAGGAGACTCCGAGTCAGTGGGACTGAGGCTCCCGAGTCTTTACTGACAATGGCCCCTAAGCACCTCTGAACATTTTATTCTTCGACTCCTAAGTCCCGACTGAAAATGGGGCTTGTGAACTTTGGAAAATTCTTCCCTGAAAAGTATCTACAAGTGCCACTGGCTCCTTTCTAGTAGAGCAGCCCAGTCCTTTAGAAGTAGTCAGGGTATTTCGCTTATGCTTGTTCTGTTTTATTTAAGTTCTTGCACTGAGCCCATCACTGGGTATCTAAGGACACTCAGGCCAGACCCCTGTTTCAAACGGAATCCCAATGCAACAGGGACTCCTGTAGGACACCTCAGCCCCTGTAATGCAGATCAGAGGAGTGACTTGACCTGTTCTGATGACAGACAGGGTGGTCTAATGAACACAGCCCCGCAGGAGGAATTCTCTTTCCAGCCTGGCTGCCTGTCTTAACCCACTGGTATGTTCACGCCAGTGCTGCGGTGACTCTCCATTAGCCAGTATTCATTGAAGCACTACATGAAGGTCAAGCAGTAGCAATGGAAATGCCACACTACTCCTGATATGCTCCCAGTGTGGTCATCTCCATAGATGCCAGGTGCCATTCCCCAGCTTGCAGCATACTCTCCACAATTCCCCATGCGCAGCAGTCCGATCTCAACTCCTCCCTCTATTTTTAAGATTCGGCCACTGCTGTTAATTCCCCGGTGCCGGCAGGACTCGAGAGTTTGCTGTTAATTAGGCATTCTGCAGCAGCACTTAACATTCGGGAATCCTGACTTAGCGCTAAACCCCTTTACTCTCACCAAGCCTTTTAATAGATTTGTGACTATTGTTATTAGGATGGATAATCTGAGGCATAAATCCCTTCGTTAAGACTGCAGCCTAGCCAGCCTATGTCCCCAGCACATTTCCTCTGCAGAACACCTTAACAATCAGAAGGAAGCACTTTCTTCTAAAATCCTAACAATCACGGATCTCTGCTTGCAGCAGTCATAACTGCTTGCATTTCTATGGTGCCTTTCATCCTGATGCATCCCAATGCTCTTTGCAAACTCAATGCCACACGATCATCACATTATGCATGACTGAAAAGCAGCCATCTCTATGGGGGAACAAGCCAACTGGAGGGACCGTTTCTGCCCTCACAGGGAAATGGACTAAAATGACCTAAAAAGTATTTTGCATTTCTAACTACTATGAGAGCTGTTTACAGAGCAAGGCAGCATCCTGCAAGGGTAGAGGGTAGGGATGTTAAAGACTAGTTGACTATCTGTTAAGCATTTGCTTATCGGATAGTCGGTTGACTAATCGACTTCCGGCCCCTCTTGCTGCCCTATGACATAGAGGCAGCAAAAGGGGGGAGGGATAGGCACTTCAAGGTGGCAGCACTGCACAGCTGTGCGGCTCTGCCACTGGGGACTCTTGTGCATTTCAAAGCAGACACTCCCATGCACCCTGGAGTCAGTGGGACTTCCTGCTGGCCCCGGGCTGTATGCAGAGTTCTGCATTCCTCCTTTGAAATGTACAAGAGCCCCAGGAGTACATTTCAAAGGAGGAATGCAGAAGTGCTTATCGACTAGTTGATTAAATGCATTTTAACATCCTTAGTAGAGGCTGGGAAGGGAGAGGAATCAACTGAATGTGGACTTTTAGGCAGGCAAAGCCTTTGCGGGAACGTTTGCCAGAAATCAGAGTTAGCTCCGCTAACGTGGTGAAGGAAAAACCAAAGGGAGAAAGTTTTAGGCAAGGCACTAAAAGAGCAGCAGAGTCGCTCTCGTGCACAAAGTCTTTTGTTAATGCGCATGCAGCTCATTAATGGAAGTTACAGGATTGCACAGGGACAAGAAGAAACCGGATGTCTTTCAAAATCAAGACTAGATCCTCCAGCCCTCTCTGTGAGAGAGCAAAACCCCAAACACAACAGAGTGGACGTGTTTCTGCAAGCTGCGGGGCAGTGTGGCCGTGGGGTGAAACTCCCCAACATCCTTGTGAGCCCCAGAACCCTGCTCTCTAGCTCTCACTGGGGAGACGTGCGAGGGAGGACGATGTAGAATCCACTGGCCCAAAACCGCGTGTGGTGGATGGAGCAGCAGATCACGCTCCAGCCCTTCTCCTCACTGCCTGCTGCAGCAGCTCTCTGCTGGCACTGCGTTCCACCCCCTGCCCACACGCAACTCCTGCATACCAGGAAGCAAGTGGCGTGCTCCAGTGGAGAATTTGGCTCCCCTTGTGCCTTTAACCACTGGAATAGGCAAACCTTGACTTTACCTGAATGAAACTGAATTCCCTCCAGTTGAGAGAGTTTGCGATGGAAGGAAGTGAAGTGATGGCAAGTAACGACAGCAGGCCCAGGGCCATTATTCCATAAGAGATGTAAAGCTCCATTCGCCAGACCTCCTCCTCTATCCAGACATCGGCCTTCTTCTCCATGACCTGCAACAAAGAAGATTAAGCAGCTTTTTCCACGTGAAGCGGTTAGTGCCAGAGAGAATTATCTGAATAACTGAAAGGGGCCTTCTTGGACGTTTGGTTCTGATTTAATTAGACTAATACTTACTTTTAATGAGCTGCCTTCTTGTGGATAGAATCAGAACAACTTAAGAGCATGTGTCATAGACCGTTGTACTGTACACAGAGAATCTCCTCTAGCTTTGTGTGTAGCAGTAGGCATGGAGTTCTAACCCTGTGGTCATTTAGCCATGGAACAGGTGCAGCACAAGCTCCTTTACTCGCTCCTACCAACATTCTTCTTCTGAAGGAAACTTATCTGGGAGGAACAGAATAGACTGGCCTCCAGGATCCACTAACTCCATTCACAGCCTGATGTTAAGAAGTGTTACGTCTCCACAATTCTCATTACCCTCCATAGGACTTTCAGCCCCTCCGCACCTGCAGGATCAAGCCCTGAAGTTGCATTTAGAAATGCAATTAACATGAAAAGTCAGTTTAAAGCCAAGAGCAAAAGTACAGATCTTTGAATACAAAGCGGCCTCCTAATGGCATTCATTTTAAGTGCACTTACAAGGAAAATTGTTCAAGCTAATTGAAGCCAAGATGAGATTTATACTGTAGGGCAGAGGTCAATGTTTAGAACAATCCATTTATCTCATTAAATGGTCTTAATTCACTAAGCGAGGACATGGCTAGAAAACAGGAGGCGTAAGTGAAATGAGCAAGAAGTCCTGTCTGGCACTGATTTGTGACAGGCACGGATGGAAAGCACAGTTGAGCGTCAGAGCACCTCCCCTCCCCAACAGCAAGAGCACAGCCCAGCAAGAGATCCCTCCCAGAGCTATTTCCAATGGGCAGAGTTAGTTCACTCGAGCATGAGTTTGCCCACTGGGATTAGTGCAATAGCTTTCTGAAGGAGCATCACAGCAATGCTAGCAGTGGGGTAGGTGTGTTTGCATTTCCCACCCATCTTCTTTACCCTTTACCAGAAAACCCATTAAAAAAGCAGCAGTGGAAAATCCCACAGATGGTTTTGTGAACTCAAAATCACACAGAAGGGCACAACTAGAGTGTCCCTACTAAAAGCCTGAAAGTAGCATGTAGAGGGAGACAGCAACATTCAAAACCTGGAGAAACCTCCCCCTAGCACTGGCTTAGGGTTTCTATCCCCACTCTTCCCCCATTGCTCCCACCTTCCATGGGTTCAGAGCTCCCTGAAGACAGGAGATAGATTCTGCTGACTTTATTCACCCCAGGAGCAATGGCAATGGGAGCTCTACTCTCTAACTGGACCCAAGAGACTGGGAACCTCTTGTTGGAAATGATACTTGTCATGGCTTATCAGAGTTGCAAGTACAGCTATCAACTGGGCAGCGGATCACCAGCCAACCTGACCTGTGATTCCAAAGTGACCCCGGGTCCTTTGGGAACGGGGCGTCTGCCCAGCTAATAACTCACGTGAGATGGGTCTCATTCTGTGGGAAACAAAGGTTGGAAAGTGAAGCAGATGACTCAAAACCTAGGTCTGCTCCACAGGATTAGGGCGGATGTATAAGATTATGCCACGTGCTGATTGGACAATGAAAGTATTACCTGCTTGACGGCTGTGCTAATTAGCAGATACCGATGAGATCGTCGCATGGGCAAGCACAGGCTGTACACAGCGTGCAAGGCTGCGCAAAAGAAACTCAGAAGGCCAATCTGCTTTCTGTGCTGTAGCCACTGGTCTAGCCAATCTGGAAAGCGCCTGTACTTGGTGCCATAGTACAGCTGGAAAGAGGCTGCCAGGACCCCGGGTAGATAAACGAGAGAGAGCATGACGTAGGCTACACAAGGCAGTGAGCTATTGACCACCTCCACTGGCATCTTGTAGAACTTGTTTTTCTGTTCCCGGATGTAAGGGTGTAAGACCTGTCTGATGAAGTTGTAGGTGTAGAAACAGAGAAAGAGACCCAGAGCCAAAAAGACAGGGATTTTCCAAGCTGGGAGGAGGCGCAGGGGAATGTTCTCAATCTCGCAGGCTGAAGATAAAGATCCCATGTCCACGGGGGTGAACCCCATGACCTGAGCAATTTCTGCAACTGTACGTCTGGCTTCTTGATTATCACAGCAAATCAAGACCTGCAATGAACCAAAAGATACATTAATGGGCAAACAGAGACACCACATGAAGGGAACAGGCATTTGGGAAGGAATCTGGATTAACGGGGGCCTGGATTCCTTAAAAACAACATGGCCATGTCATATGATATTGTTAAGGGATGCCAAGAGTACAAGAAGCCCGGGAGGCAGCATTCATTTAGATGTGTGATCTACCCTGAGATCACAAAGCACTTTACAAAGCCAATTAAGCCTCACACAGTTGCTGTGAGCCAAGTAACCATTTCCTCTTGGTAGCTGAGGCACAGAGGAGATACACCAGTCAGGAAATTTCAAGAACTTTTGAGTATCTTCCCGCTTACTAAAATTGATTGACAGAACAGTTTTGGTCTAGATTAAAAAATATTTACATCTCATATTAAAACCCTCCACCCACCCTTTGTGCTTTTAGTAGGTGCTCAGTACCTTACAAAATGCACAGATCCTCCAGCTCGCCTCTGTGAGGTTACATAAAACAAATTTGCCTCAGGCCACAGAAGGTTTCCATGTTAGTGCTGGGATCAGCTCTTAGCAATATCTTGTTCCCCCACCATCCTTTGGTATGTCCACTAGCTCTCACCTCTCTGCTAGTAAAGCACTTAACTAACAGGGTCAGACCCTGCATCTTGAAGTCCATGAAAGTTTTGCTTGAGTAAGGACTGTAGGCTTTGGCTCCTAGTAAAAGAAAACCATACCTGCTTATTCCCATCTCTGGGACCTGACTGTAAGGTCCATGCAGAGATCACATTGAATCCTTTGACAACGGTGCATGCTGGGAAAAGGGAAGCCAAGTACTCGGCATTTGATTCTTTGTGATGGTTAATTTCAGTGTTGTTGCTGACATCCACCAGTATTTTACCAGCTAGCGCATCTGTCAGGTCACAGAGCGTGGAGTAATGTTCCCTGAAAACTGCCACAAAAATAATATCCGTCTTCTTGACAGCATCTTCCTGGGCAGTCACTTCAGCTGCTGAGGGAAAAAGGCCTGCGCAGCGCTTTGGATTGCGGCTTCCGACCACCACCTTGAAACCTGAGCACACCAGACGTGTAGCCAACGAGCGTGCAAAGTCGCCACTTCCCAGGATCCCTATGGTTTGACCAGCAGCCGGGGCAAGATTTGGGCTGCTCTCCATATTCCGACAATCTAGGAGTGGTTTTGCCATGTCTCCACGGGGCATCCCTTTAGGCTAAAGCACAAAGGATAAGTTCATTGGAAACAGCATTTTTAAAACCTTTATCTCCCTGTCTCAGTACGAAAGAAACAAACCCACCGTAATGTGGCAAATGCTACATACTCAAGCACAGCCAGTGCAAACGGGGTCTGTGTGGGAACGCACAATACTTAGCCAGGAAGGATTCCCCCACCTGCAAACTGGATGTGTGATGCTGTGCCCCCTGCAGGGCTCAAACCCAGAACCTCTGGATCAAAAAGCAGGAACTCATTGCTTGAGCTCAGAGATCCATCTCTACTAGGCAAGGCTACGGCAGGCTCTCCAATCTATCTACCCATGGATCCAGCCACTGCTAGTGGAGGTATGAGTTAAAGGTGCAAAGTAGCTGTGTGACTCCATTGTGGTGGCCTCTGGACATGTTCAGTCAAAGATCATAGAATCATCGGGTTGGAAGAGACCTCAGGAGGTCATTGCGTTCAACCCCCTTCTAAAAACAAGACCTATCCCAACTAAATCATCCCAGCAGGGCTCTGTCAAACCTCTAGAGATGGAGATTCCACCACCTCCCTAAGTAACCGATTCCAGTGCTTCATCACCCTCCAAGGGTATGTCTACACTACAGAGTTGTTTCAGAAAAAGGGCCATTTTTCCAAAAAAACTCCAGTTACATCCACACTGCAATTGTGTTCTCCCGAAAGAAAATTGAAAGAACGGAGGGGGTTTTCCGACATTGGGTAACCCTCATTCTACGAGGAAGAAGCCTTCTTTCAAAAGAGCTCTTTTGGAAAAGGGAGTTCTTTCGAAAGAAGAGGAAAGAGGAAAAAGCACAGGTGCCCTGGTGGCCACTCTGTCCATAGTAATCACAGCTGAAATGCGAGAGAGCTTCCATTCAGTGTGGATGCTATCTTTCAAAAAAGCAGATCACTTTTTCGATGCACTTTGGCAGTGTGGATGATCTCTTCTGGAAAAGCTTCTTCCAAAAGAAGCCTGCAGTCTAGACATAGCCCTAGTGAAATAGGTTTTCCTAATATCTAACCTTGATTTTCCCCACTGCAACTTGAGACCATTGCTCCTCATTCTGTCATCTGCCACCACTGAGAATTGCCTGGCTCCCTGCTCTTTGGAACATCCCTTGATAGTTGAAGGTTGCTATCAAATCCCCCCTCAATTTCTCTTCTGTAGACAAATAAACCCAAATCCTTTAGCCTCTCCTCAGAAGTCAGGGGTGGGGAACCATTTTGGGTCAGGGACGACTGACTCTCAGAAAAATCAATCGGGGGCCACCCACAAGTGATAAGCAAAAAAAAACCCTCCAAAAAACAACCCCCCCAAACTCCCAAAACAAAAACAACCTCCCTCCAAAAAATCAAACCACCAAAACCAAACCCTCACTGACGGGCCCTTGACTGAGAAGGAGAAAGACACTCCCCACATTCCCCTTGCACACAGGAGTCTAGGGGGGCCCAGGCTAGCGTGCTGCAGCTCTGTGGTGGGTTGATGGGGCTGGAGCACCGCTGTGGTATCCTCAATACTGGGGGGAGCACTGAGCCTTGGGGACTGGATCCAGGTAAGTCAGGGGCCAGGCCTTTGTTTCCCCACCCCTGCCATAAACCATGCGCTCCAGCCCTCTAATCATTTTTGTTGCCCTCTGCTGGACTTTCTCCAATGCATCCACATCCTTTCTATTATTGGGGGGCCCCAGAATTGGATACAACATTCCAGATGTGACCTCGCAGTGCCAAATAAAGGAATAATCACTTCCCTCAAACCCCCTGCCTTTCCCTCACCCTAACCTTACTCTCCATACTATAAAACCACAGCAGCCTTAACATTGGTGGGGGGTGAGCCTTTTCTACCGCAATGGGGTGGTCTGGCCCTGTTCCAGCCCAGCCAGGGAACTGGGACCAGCCAGACCCTGGTTTGTGGCATGGCACCTTTAAGAACCTGGGGTTTAAGTGCACCGCTGGTGACAGGGAAGCTGGAGGTGTGAGCTGGACAGAAGAGGAAAACAAAGCCTTCCCAGAGTCAGAAGGACTGGCAGAGCTCCCTGGCTCAGAGGTCACTAGAGTGGGAGCCAGCATTGATGGTGAAGCTGAAAAATCAGGCAGCAGTTCCATAAGGTGGAAGAAACTGAACCCGAACAAGAGGAGCCTGACTTACATACTGGGCTGTGATCATGTAACTGGCGCAAGGCCAGTGCTGAGGGGCAGCGCTTGCAAAGCTGTGCTGTGCCAGGAGGGGCTGTGCTCTGGGAGAGGTCCCTGTCACACACTCCTCCGAGGGCAGGGGACTTACAAGGCAGGAAATGCAGTGCGCTGATCTAAGTAAGAGCAAGCCCACTGCCTTTAAACACAGGTGGCCATGAAGCTGGTGGTGCCCTCCTACTCCACATCCGGGTACGTTGCAAGCGCATCAAATAGATTTAGAGCTGGCAAGTCATTTAGAGCTGGCACCTAGATGCAGCATCTCAAGTCACAATGAATGTGACTGGGCAGAGGCGCGTGATGCAGCTTACACAGCACTTGCCAGTTCCAATTTTAGTCAAGTGCTTTTAGCTCCAGACCTTGGACAAGCAATCCAAATGTACTCCATCCCCCTCCCCCCATGCACATGTAAAATAAATCCTTAAATACGAAGGGCTTTACACCACCCGCGTCTCCTTATCTGGCACCTTCCACCCAGCCAACTAGCTAAGCTATACAAACACTAAGGACTGTAGCCTCCCAGCATTCACTGGGGTTCTATCACCAATGGGGAGACACAGCCCAGAGAGGCTAAATGACTTGCCTAAGGCTACCCAGTGAGTTAACAGCTGCGCCAAGAGTAAAGCCCAAGTTTGTGCTAATTCTGCTGCCTTAATCCCCTTTCCCTAATAAAACGTTACTCTACAAAGACACATCTCTCTGGCTCTTAAGCAAATGAATGGAAATTAACATTCAGGGTGACAGAATGGTTGTTACCCAGAGACTCATTTCATTATAAGTCTAAAGCACCTCAAAAGCTTTCCTAGAGCTCCCAAAGGGACTGTGAACTGTGCTGGAAGACAATCTTTTTGTAGTGTGACATTTATGTCCTGTAACTGCCATTCAAAACAAACAGGGACATTTGCAATTTTCTGGAATAATGAACAGCCTCTCTGCCTCCCGTTCCTTGGTTTCAAAAGGAAGAAAAAAATAACGCATCGCAGAATTAAACAGCGTGTGAAAACGAGACAGAGCAGGATATTTTAAAAATAAACAACTATATTTTCTAAAATTAAATGTGAAGTTGGGCTCCACTATTTCAATCTAGGGCTATGTCCAGACCGCAGGCTTCTTTTGGAAGAAGCTTTTCTGGACGAGATCTTCCGAAAAAATGTCTTCCGAAAGAGAGAGTCCACACTGCAAAAGCGCATTGAAAAAGCGATCTGCTTTTTTGACAGCGTCCATATTGAATGGTTGCTATCTCTCATGTAAGCTGTGACGTAAGTCGGGGACTGCCTGTAGATTAGATCCACTGAATTACCTTTATCTAAAAAATCTGTTACTTTGTCAAAGAAGGAGATCAGGTTGGTTCGGCACGATCTACCTTTTGTAAAACCATGTTGTAATTTGTCCCAATTGCCGTTAACCTCAATGTCCCTAACTACTTTCGCCTTCAAAATTTTTTCCAAGGCCTTGCATACTACAGATGTCAAACTAATAGGCCTGTAGTTACCCGGGTCACTTTTTTTTCTCTTTCTTAAAAATAGGAACTATATTAGCAATTCTCCAGTCAAATGGTACAACCCCTGAGTTTAGAGATTCATTAAAAAATTTTACTAATGGACTTGAAATTTCATGTGACAGGACCTTTAATATTCTTGGATGAAGATTATTTGGGTCCCCCGATTTACTCCCATTAAGCTGTTCGAGTTTGGCTTCTACCTCGGATTTGGTAATATCTACCTCCATATCCTTAGTCCCATTTGTTATGTTGCCATTATCCCTAAGCTCTTCATTAGCCTCATTAAAGACTGAAGCAAAGTATTTATTTAGATATTGGGCCATGCCTAGATTATCTTTAACCACCACTCCATCCTCAGTGATTAGCGGTCCCACTTCTTTTTTTGTGTTCTTCCTATTTATATGGCTATAAAACCTTTTACTGTTGGTTTTAATTTCTTTTGCAAGGTCCAACTCTACATGACTTTTAGCCTCTCTCACTTTGTCCCTAGATGTTCAAACTTCAATAAAGTAGCTTTCTTTGCTGATCCTTCCCATTTTCCTCTCCTTACATGCTTTCTGCTTTTTCTTAATCACCTCCCTGAGATGCTTGCTCATCCAACTTGCTCTAAAACACCTACCTATACATTTTTTCGCCTTTCTTGGGAGACAGGCTTCTGACAGCTTCTGCAACTTTAACTTAAAATAATCCCACGCCTCCTCCACCTTTAGATCCATAAATTCTTTAATCCAATCCACTTCCCTAACTAATTTCCTTAATTTATTAAAGTTAGCCCTTTTGAAATAAAAAACCCTAGTCTCAGATTTATTTTTGTTAATCCTTCCATTTAGTTTGAACTGAATTAGCTCATGATCGTTCGAGCCAAGGTTGTCCCCTACAACCATTTCTTCTATGAGGTCCTTACTACTCACAAAAACCAAATCTAAAATGGCTTCCCCCCTTGTTGGTTCAGCAACTACTTGATGAAGGAATTCATCAGCTCTCACATCTAGGAAAATCTGAGCCCTATTATTATTACCAGTACTCGATCTCCAGTCTTATATCTGGAAAGTTGAAGTCTCCCATGATTATGCAGTTTCCATTAGTATTTACTTCTTTAAAAACATTAAATAGGTCTCTATCCATTTCCAGATTAGATCCCGGTGATCTATAGTACACCCCAAGCACTATCCCTGGGGAGGATCTAATAGTTTTCTTCCCCAATGTGATTTTTCCCCAGATAGACTCTGTCTTCTCCATTCCATCACTTTTTAATTCTTTACAATCTACCTCATCATTGATATACAATGCTACTCCACCACCTTAACCTTTATTTCTGTCTTTCCTAAATA